AATATAACGTTCAGAAAAATGCATACGCTCGCAGCTGATGCATTTCAATTCACGCATTTACATTGATCCTAAACCACGAGAAAACTGAAAGCAACAAAATGCGCTGAGCTCTTTACAAGTCCTGCTTACAAAGCTGTCCCGATAAAAATATGAGCAATTAATATGAATTTCATCTAGCGAACAAGGATCAATATGGCTGCATTTCAAGTTTATTAAATTGCATATCTAACATTGTTTACTTTCCAAAACATAAACATGACGTTTTCATTTTAACAAGAAATTCAGTAGTTGTTAAATCGAAATTAAAAATATCGAAATACTTTATATATTGCTCGTTTGCTCTAGAATGACGTACTATTCGAGTTGTTTCTCTGCCAAGAAAAGCAATAACTCTGGAATTTTCTGAAGCAGAAACGAGACGATTTCCCAAACATTCATAAAAAGAATACAACAAGTATATCAGCTGCTAAAGCGCATTTCATCTTCCTGAGACATGTGAAAGCTCAAACAAATGGCAAAATGCCATGCATACATCAATATAAAATCACAGTTACAGCATGTATCACATGCTGTGCAACTGCGGGATTACTCGTCTCTCCGGAATAGCGTGCATTGTGCGAAATTTCGCTCGGCGAGAGCGTTTCAATATTTATCAAACGTGAGGACGCGCCGAATAATCTCCAAGGACAGCTTGTACACTCTGTACATCGTTGCAACAATCTGCGTTCCTAAGCGTTGCAACTGAGTTGAACGTTTCTTCGAAATAATAAATACGGACTCAATAACAACAGCCTCGAAACTTCCCTCTTTCCTTTTCGACATCTGCTGGTGAAGCACGGCAACATTGTTTCCATCCCGTACAGTGCATTACGTAAATGAGAATAGTACCTTGTATGCATTCGTGTGTATCTGATTCACGTGAGTCGAGGCGACGATGTCATCTTTTCAACTACTAATCACCGTGTAAAGTGCTCTCTTCTAACACAAAACTCGCGTATAGTGTTTAAGAGAAAATAAATTAAATGACGTCTATAATTTTTTTGTATATTATAGAAATGCTAATTAAACATAAAATTTCTGAATAATTAACTTGATAAAAGTAAATAAAAGCGATCAAATCAAAGAAATATGTAAATAAAAAGCGAATTATCAAAATTATCTAGATTTCGTCATTCTTTGATAAATAATCGTTTATATGTTTTACATTATCGATCTCCGCAAAAAAAAAAGGGAAAAAAAATTATTTTTCACCGAACAAATAATAATAATGAATATTGAGATTGCAACTCCAATCACGAAAAAGTTTCTGTTCCATAAACGATTGTCCTAGATTCGAAGATTTAAGGAAGACAATTTACGCTTGTTTGTTCCCTCCAATCCATAGATGGTTCTAGGTCACGTCGAAAAATTTAAAGCGCCCACACATTAGATGAAATTCACGTTAAAATTTCTCTCTCCGTTTTATTTCATCTCCGTTTTATCCCCGTTTCATTACGTATCTCGATAATATAGATATAAATAAAAAAGAATGAATATTATTGGAATTTTTCAAAAAGCATTAAAAAGTATTAAATTATCTCTTATTATCTCGTACACCAAACAATATTTGAGTGCAAAACTTGTCTCATTTAATTTTTCTATTGTAACGTTTTATATTATTATATTTATTGTACATTATAATAGTATGAATTTATTTTCTTTTTGCTTTATAATTTATTATATGATATAAGAGAGAGGTAAAATTGGCGTAGTAAAAATATTGCATTCGCTAATGCACCATAAGATTAAATGGAGCAGTCTGTTCGCTTAAATTGAGTATTCTCTTGGGAATTTTATCCTCGATCTCTTAGTAGTGAGAATTCCTGAGGATACGATAATCGAGCATCGCTATCAATTCTGTCTGTCGCTCGAAGATCGCTCTCGAAAAATAAGCGACTTTCGAATAGATATACGGATGTAAATCACCGATCAAGATATATTTGCATGCACATAATGTAATGATTTTTACAGAATCATGACTTGTATAACCCAAGATACGAAAATATCTTGCGACCTCGCAAGGTATAATATCATCATCATCATATTCAATTACAGATAGTCGCATATGGACGTTACATGACTGGCTGTTGCCAGCCTGCTATTGCATAGAATCATAGATAGTTGCAGTCTACTCAATTAAGTTTCGCACTATCTTGTGTTTTCTATTACCTTATTTAGATTCGTGCTTTATCGTATTATATATCTTTTAATTTGACAGTTTACGAATTTTACATTAATAATTAAATTAAATAATGATCATTATATGTCAGTAATAAAAAAAATATTCAAACGATAAAAAATGTCAATTTCATTTTTCCGACAAATAATTTCTGTTTCTCTTATTTCTTTTTATATTTATATGTATAGAAAAATATAAATTTTTCTTTTTGAGTATCTTCCTCCACTAAAATCTTATAAGCAAAAAAGATATTTATTAGATAAGATTTTAAGAGTGAATATCTCTCATGATAAAACATCGCTATATCTTTATAATTAATTAATAATTAACGATTGTATACAGATGTTTGAAAGTGTCCCGATAAATGATTTTTTGTTTAACCGAGAAAGATTTTCTCGAATAAACAAAAAATCACTTTTATCGACTTCAACGATTTAAACAGTATTTATCGTTTAATTAATCAGGATTTCCATCATACATACTGGTGTGATTAATGATATCGTTGTTAAAGTGTCTCTGGTAATTCCGTGAATGCTATACGAGACGAACCTTTATATCGTACGTTACATAATTAGAGATAATATATCGCGCACTCACGTCAAAATTAACCTTCAGAACATTTCAGGATTATTCGTGTTTGTACTCGCCAGATACGAAAACCCACCCGATTCTTGATAGAGATTTCATATCTTTTAATTTATTCATAAGATCTCTGTCTCTAGATTAAATATATATCAGTTATAATTATTAATTCATTAAATGAACAACACATGTTTTAACAGAATTAATTTCTTTAATATATCCCATCATTAATGCGAAATAAAATTTTATGATTCGCATATCCTATTATCAATAGCATTAAAATTAAAATTAAAATTCTTCCGATTGTTCATTATTTAATTACATTATTCATATATGATACCACTGCAATTTAATTTCATATTATAGTGGTTATCAAAAATTGGTAGTAAAAATATTACGAGTGTATTTTAAAGATTTTTTGTTTCGTATACTGTAAACATTAATTTCGCATTATGTATGACACGATGAAGGTGAAAATTGACACGACAGTCCACAATGATTTCGCACAATAAATAAAATAATTTCAACTTCGAAGTATAATATTTTAATTTTAAATATCGAGACAACAATTTCGTCTGAATAATCTATTAGATCTTCAAGCATTATCTTTAAGCAGTCAATATTACAAAACCGCACGCGACTCCGAAATGTTTGACATGAGATGAAACGATCTTTTAACTGATCCGCGCGAGTCCCGCGCGCAGAAACGAGTTTACATGACACGCGACAATCGCGGAACGCTATAGGAATCCAAAACTCGCGGAATCCTCTTCCGCGGGAGTCAACGCACCACCTCTCCTTCCTCTTCCCGCCCTGTCTCCGGCAATCGCGCGCCCCACGACCGTTCCACCTTGCTCCTTCGCGACGACGACCATACGATCGAACAGTTTTTTTCGAGCACCGCGCGAAACAGGTATTCGACGTGGTGGGATAAGCGGGTAGGTAGGTAGGTAGGTAGATGAATATACTCATACGCGGATATATCGGCGCGACGCCGACGTGAAGTTGCAGCCGGGCTAGAATAAACCGGGCGACCGGTGAAAATTAGAATCGGACGAGAGCGAGCAGCGAGAATAACGCAACGTCAGCCGGGAAAGATTCTTAAGAAAAGAGTGAAAGAGAAACAGAAATCGTTCGTAGACGACGCTGTGAACGGGAGGTCGAACGTGAAGGACGCGACCGTTGCCACCGCGGGCAGCGAGTTTTCAAACGTCGCTCGCTTCTGCGTATTCGTGATAGAAACGCAGGCGCCATCGCAAAGAAGGGTACCGCGAAACGCCTGTTCAAAACGTTGCCTTTCGCGTTTTATCGCGAGAATAGATGTACTCACTGTTTACAGTTGAACATTCCGCGTCGTCATCGTCGTCATATCGGCGATAATCCAAGTGCCGAATAGGAGAAGAACACTCGCGAACACTCACTCGCGCGACATCGCGTTGCACACACGTAACGGCGCGAGCGATTTATCTATGCGATTTTTCGAAATTAGAAATTCGAGCGAAGATCGCGGAGAAGAAGACACGTCCGCGAAATGGAAAGTGCGGGGAAGGTGACGCGCGCGCGAAAAAAATATATCTTCACTCGTGATCGTATTCAAAGATCCGACCGCAACTTCGCCCCGTCACGAACTTCAACCGACTCGGCGACACTCTCGCGTGGATCTCCGCAACTTCTCGCCGCCTCCCCGCCAATTCGCCTCCCCACCAATTCGCCGCCCCGCCATGTCGCCTCCCCACCATTTCGCTTTCCTACCACACTAACCATTATTATTTACTATATTTACTATTTACTACTTTTGGCTACACTTGGCGACGCAACGCTCATAGAATTAGTTCGTCTTTGTTGTTCTCGACGAAAGTTAAACAGAAACAAATAATGCTCGCGGTGCGATCATCAATGTTACGATCTTGACTTATATTGTCAAGATCAAAGTCATTGGGAGTGAATCTAATATTCATATTTACCAAATTTTTTTTTCTTAGTATCGAGAATGATTCAGTATGCGCGTATTATAATTTAATTTTTTTAACTGGAAATTATAAAAAGAACTTTATTGATAATTTGAATAAGAGAAAAATTTGTATCTATGTAATATCAACCTACATTAAAAAGAGAAATAGCATTAAAAAAAATATAGTATCTTATTAGAAATATCGTAAGACCTTATGTATAAAAATGTCAAGAAATTAAGACGACGATGTCTATATATACAAAATGTAAATTATATATTTCAAGATTTTTATTTAAAACATCATGTTTGCTTGGTTTTATTGTCACCATTTTCCATGTGCGCGTCTTTCCTTAATTCATAAATCTATAAAAAGAAAGTGATATATAATTTAATTTAATGTTATATAACTCAAACTTAAATTTAAGGTTATATAACTTAACTTAATATTGTAAATTGAAAGAAAATAGATATTCTTTTCCAATTTACCTGTATATATGCTTCGGTGAGAGTAATCATTTGGGGCAAAATTTGGGTGACATGTAAATCTTGCATCTCATACCACTGACCAGTGGCTCTATGCAAAATATGAACTCGGTATGTTCCTTGACCAGGCTCACCGTCGTGTACTATATTGGCTACTAAATCATATGTTGTATATGGATGCTTCGCCTTTATTTCCGGTGTTAAAATATCTCCAAAATCAACATTTCTATAAACATAATCAAAAATTACAATTAAAATATTAATAATTTTGGTATATAATAATGTGTATGTCATAAAATGAATGTATATACTTACTTAACGGGAAAATTCACAATTGTTGGATTTTTCTCGACAAAAAATGTATTTTTCGTAAATCTCTAAAACCAATTAAAAATTATTAAATAATGCAAGATATTCACTTTAATAATATATATAATATGGGACTTACTAAACTTAAGACTTACTTTTATATAAAGTATAAGATAAGGTGGCAGTTCAGTAATCTCAAATCTTTTCATGAAATTTTCCTTATAGGTCTTATATTCTTTTTCAGTGATGGCATTAAATTTGTTTAACAGTGTGTATAAATTCACCTATATAAATAAAAATATGAAATTATATTGATTATTTGTAGCTGTATATCAAAATTCTTAGATATAGTAATCAATATTTGGGGACACAATGCACATAATACTAACTTGTGGAATAATGTTCTCCGTGAATTGATCTTTGAATAATGGAGGCGGCGGGAGATCGCAAGTAAGATATAAGAACGGACTTTCCGTCACAGTTTCACCATATTCTACTGTGTGCAACAGTTCACTTCTTTGGCTCTCTTCTAGTTCTAATGGCGGTATTTTTCGTGTATATATCCGCATATGTCCTAAGAATGTTTTATAAATGATACTTGAATCACGCTTTTTAGTACCATTTAGTGCCAAATGAAGAGCATTTAAGAACCATGATAAAAAGTCCACCGGATCACCTAAATAGCGTCTTATTAGTAAGAATGTCTTTAATGAAATGTACGATGAAGAAATTTAGTATGTACCTTGTTCTGTGAATTGAAATCTTTTTTTACTCCATAAAACTACAGCCTGCAGCATCTCATGAGGGCTCACGTGTGCTTTAAAATTACGTGGATTCCATAATTTGCGCATAAGCTCTCCAAATCTTTGTACCAAGAGATAAGATGAATCACCAGGTGGTCTTCTTACATGGGAATAATTAGATTCTCTTAAGAAAAAATCTCTCAAAGGTGTAACATGTGAAAGCGCCTGCAAAATTGCGATATATTTATATATATATATTTATAAAATAAATTACTTGTAAAATAACATTGCAGTAATCATTTGCTTTTATATTATTCAATCCCACTATGCCTGGTGAATACATAGAGCCATCAATTGCTCTACTCTGTCTGTCACACTTATCTAATTGGGCTATTTGTGCTTTGTCAAAAGTTGGATATAATACATATTTAATGTCATCCAATGATGAATCTATAAACATTAAAGTATTAAAGTTTTATTTGCTGAAAGGAAAGAATATGCAAAAATAATATGTTTTTACTTACCCACAATTTCGTAATTATCTGGTAAACAATAAAATTTTAATGTATGCAGATTGAGAAATACGTGATGACTCTCTGCTACACTATGTGTATAAGCATGAGTGTTAGTCCCCCTCCCTTGAAAATATTTGCCACAAACCAGACAGGCATATACATTGATCCTTGACAACGATACAGAACATAATTTTTCAAAATCAAAATCTAAAAATTGTCGATTAATCGTATCCAAGTATGGACACAACCGTGGTGTTTCTGATTTGATTTTTGCATGTTTTGCATTCTCTGTAACGAAAGAAAATATAATTTTAGATAATATTTTAGATTATAATTTAAACACAGAAAATGCAACACAATGGTAAATATAAAATGCTATTGATTGTTTCATGTAATATCGATACTTATATAAATAAATATTAAATGTATTATACTTATAAAAAAACTTTCAAAGGCAACGAAAATTATAACGCACCAAATATTACCTAACCTCAAACTGTTTTTTTATATTTTATTAAAATAAATCATGTACATCTAAAACTGATTGATTTGAATCGTCAATGATATTATACGTATAGACATGTACTTACTTTCCGTTTCATTATCCGAATCGCTTCCGATATCAACCAATTTCTGTTTTCTTTTTATACCAGACGCCATTTTTTGAATATGACATACACATGATTGGCTGTGTTCGAAAATATCATCCGTGTACACACGAGCGTCGTTCTATCTTTGTTCAACTTGTAATAAATGGGCGCGTTCAGGAAACACAACTGTTGAGCATCGTCTTGTCAACTCTCGACGTTGATTTGTTGGTTCTAGAAGTAAGAACCAATCACGTTCGATTGCTACTCAACGGTTGTGTTTCCTGAACGCACCCAATAACGAAGATAGAATGACGCTCGTATGTACACACAGGTGATGTTTCCGAACGTAAACTTATAGGGTAAAGTAAAGTAGCGTTTAATTGACCAATCAGAACGAAAAAATTTTGCGAACTCGCATAATCATTAATCATATAAAATATTTTTACAGAAAAGTCAGACAATCACATTTATAATTTAAAGAATGTAACAAAATGATGTATCTTTTATTTGCCACATGATTGATCGATTTTTGTGCAAATTTTTATACAAATTTATTTTGAATAGTTCTTTATAAAGTCGAAAATTCGAAACTGACTTGACCAATCAGGATAAAAAGAAAGAAACTCTTTGTCCTGATTGGTCAATTAAACGCTTCAAACATTCATAATGCCAAATGGAATGCATTCTGAAACATAAAAATAAAGTTAGGTTGATTAGATTAGGTTAGATATATGCACGTGATTCATCGTTTCATTTTAAATGTACTTTTTTTACACTTTCTGTATTTTTAAACTGAAATAGATATATCATAGATTTTGAAGGAGAAGAAGGAAGAGAGAAGTAAAGTGTAGAAGCAGCGTGCATATATTTATATATGTAGTGTATAATTGGCGGAATAAACAGAGTAAGTATGCGCTTTTCTTTGTATACTGTGTAACAAAATATTTTTGGAAATATTCGGATGCGTTTCGCCGATTCTAGATGATATTAGAATCACACACACGAACGAAGCTTTTGTATTTGCAATAATTGTGGTGACGTTTTATCAATCTAATAATCCGAATTGCGATACTAATAATCCAAAACTAATATTGCAAAAAAAGTGCAGTTATAATCGTTTTGTTTCAAAGATTGAACATGATCTTTTGTTAACGCATCTGCATATGAAGAAACATTCTGCGTTGTGTTTTATATTTTGAAATTAGTTCAAGAGAGCATATATCTCGCTTATAAAATACATGATATTAAACTTTTGTTAAATATATATATATCCTGTTGTTTCTTAAAGAAAAAGCTTAGTTATTTCAAAATAACTAATTTATAAATAAAATCTTAAGTTCCTTAGATATTAGACTTTCTGAAAGTAACTATGCCTCGTGCAAAGAGAACCAGAGTAAAAAGCGATGATGCGTCAGGTCCAAAAAAGCTTAAACAATCAGGTTCAGATACCTTAGATTACATGACTCAAATACAAACAACTTTGGGTATAAAACAAAGTACAGAGAAAAATCGAGATGCAATTGAACATTCATCTACAGTGCTTACCTCTACTTCCAATATAGAAAAAAATAAAGATACTATTGAACACACACCTGTAGCGCTTGGATCAATTTCTGATAAATTATTATCAATTGAACAAGAACTTTGTATTAAATTAAAAGATGTTACTTTTCCATCAGTGATACAATATATTTACAATCCACTTGAGTATGCATCTGAAACACATGCCATGTATGTACATAAGTACTGCACTGGCGAAAAAAAAGTTTTATTTGTTGGCATGAATCCTGGACCATGGGGCATGTCACAAACTGGTGTGCCATTTGGAGAAATAAGCATGGTGCGCAATTGGCTCCAAATTTTTGGTCCTGTTGGAAGTCCGTTAAAAGAACATCCTGATCGAAAAGTCACAGGATTCCAATGTACACGTAGTGAGATTAGTGGACTAAGATTGTGGGGCCTCTTTCGAGATTTGTGCGGTAGTCCAGAAAACTTTTTTCGATATGCATACATGCACAATTATTGCCCATTTGCATTTATGGATGCCAAAGCTCGAAACATTACACCAGCAGAATTAAAGGCAATATTTATCCCACTACATTTCTTTTCTTTATGCTGAACTATCTGTTCTTTTTAGGGAGAAGGACAAAAAATTTTACATGAGGCATGCGACAAATCCTTGATAGATATAATACGGCTCTTGAAAGTGGAAATTATCGTTGGTATTGGAAATTATGCCGAAAAAAGAGCACAGATTGCAGTCCAGACAGGAGGTTTTTCTCATGTACAGGTAATGTATATATTTATGCAATATATTGCATAATAATATCTTTTTAATTATAATATATCAAGATTTACTAATTTATATGTGATTTTTTCAGATAATGGTTCTGCGACATCCCAGTCCAAGAGCTGTAGGTAATCAAAATTGGAATGAAACAGCTATGCAACGGTTAGATGAGTTGGGATTGCTCAAATTTTTTGAGAAAGCAAGTACTACTGTTTAAATTCTTTCTTGTACAGGGTACAATCATTATTTTTATATAAAAGATAAAATTCAAATTGATAAATTATTTTTATTTAAGACAACATTTACATTTTTTGCAAAAGATTAAAAACATTAAAATATTAATTTTATAAAACTGTAGCGCACAACATAGTTTTAAAAATATCATTACATCATATCGACATATAATACAATATTTAATAGCGTTTGTTATGGATACTTTGGCATGGATGGACGTTGCATTACAAAAAGCTGAGGAATCTTTAAAAGCTGGTGAAGTCCCAGTTGGTTGTTTATTTATATATAACAATGAAATAATTGCAACTGGCAATAACACAGTGAATGAAACTTGTAATGCAACTCGCCATGCAGAGATAAATTGCATCGACCAAGTCTTAAAGTTTTGTAAAGAGAAACGCGTGGAATACGAAACGGTATTTCGTAACCTAGATGTAATTGTCACAGTAGAACCATGCATAATGTGTATGTCGGCATTGCTTCAACTACAAGTACGTAGTATTATATACGGTTGTGCGAATGATCGATTTGGCGGTTGCGTCAGTGTTCTCGAGGTACCGAAATTTTACGATTCAAAGGTAATAATACAAGGAAACGTTAAGAGAGAAGAGGCTATGAGATTGCTTAAAGACTTTTACAAAGGCGTGAATCCAAACGCGCCTGAGTCAAAAGTCAAAAGAAAGAAAGAAACTTTGTTAACCGAGAACAAATAATCTGTTTGCATTTAGTATCTTATTTATAGATATATGTGAAACATTTTTTTATATACATATGATTTAGTATATTATATGAATATAAAATATATTTATTTCCATTTCTTTTTTTTAATTATATAATACACATTGCGCTATAGTATAGAATAATTTGGAATCTTTTTTATGATCTTTTATATTCTACATATATATGTATTTAATGTATAATATGTGTACAGTATAATAGAAATAATAGTAAATTCAACATTTCTTCGCGCGTTTTTATGTACTTGTTAAACGACTTTTTATTTAAAGTGTTTTTACTTATTGAATACTATATATACAGTTTTACATATCTGAAATAAATATTCAATATTACATGTAATACTTACAAGATAGACTTCTAACTATATCATATGATGTCAACTGCACCATGTCTTATCCAATTCGCATTTTCCTTGGTACCATCTGATGAGTAATTGGTTTCTCAGTGTATAGTTTTGTAACACCATATCCTTTGTCTGCAAACAGATATATTCTTGGTCAGAAGTAAAATTACATGATGAAATATAACATTCTTCCGCGACTTACAATCGGAGGCGGGAAGATTCGTTGAAAATCCATCTGATTCTGATGTTCAAGATAACTCTGCGACAAAATAAATTTTGTTTCCAGTGTATAACAAGGCCTACACAACTGGCACTCTATGCGAAAGCAATCCTTGCATTCCTTGCAGAGCTCTGGTAGCACCACAATGTTTTTGTTTGCTACCTCCATTTCTTCCTCTGCTTTATTTCTACAACATTAATAATGCCAATAATTTAAATATCTCTTGTGTGAATAATTCTACTTTATATTTTTAGGCATCCAATTTCAAGACAAAATTCTTTTGTACGCGCATTTAAGTGCATGTAAATCTCGATGTGCTATACTTGCCTAGTCTTCAAGGATCCTCTTCTGATCCTCTTGCCGATACCGATCAGCGCAAACGTATTGAATATGACTTGCTCGTAGAGCAATTGATTTGGTGGATAATGCGCGGAAGACAGATTCGGCGACATGTTCGCCTCCATCATATAGACATTCAGGTCCTCGTCGAGAGCCAGATCGAATCTCACGAGCTCGAAGAAATTCCTGCCATTGCCGAAGCGCCTAGAAACTTCTCTTATTTGCATCTCCTTCATCAACACGACTTCCCGGGTAGCATCATACACTCGCTCCCACATTTCGGTCGGATTCTTTCCGCGCTCTCTGACGTACGCGTCGAACGTATCTTTCATCGAGAACCCGAACTCAGTGTAGTATCTCTTCAAAGATGGCACGTTCCAAATCGGTAGATAATCGTCGCCAACCACGTACTTGTCTAGAACTTCTGGATCGAAAGGATAATATATCACCGGACAGAAGCGAAACAGCACGTCGCCCTTGTAGACGTATAGTCGCAGCGGATCTACGGACGTGATGACAACGTACACGCCAATGTCGAACTTGTAGCCATCCACGAGGAACGGTCGCTCGATGAATTCTTGAACGAACGTGCCATCGGTGAAGTTCGCGTCATTGTTGCCGCGAATGCGAATGCCCCGATGATCGTTCGATTTCTGTACGAACAGCTTCGCGGGATTTGACTTGGCATAGTCGAGGAAGGCTTGTTGGTCCTCAGGTATCTTGAACGCCGCTGGTATATATCGCCCGCCGCGCGACGTCGACAGATCCACCTTGTTCGTGATGTAGCCACAACCAGGGAAATGGTTGATTCGCTGATGTTCCCGCAGTCTACCTAATTTCGCGGACAGCACGCGAAACGGATAATCATGGGCCCACAATAGATCCCAGTCAGACTCATTTTTGCTCTCTTGAAAACCGAGTCGTTGGAGTACCGCGTATACATGCTTCAAGTAACCGGTATCGTTGCTTTTGGCGTAGATCCAGAATTTGGGTTGATTCTCGTTTATTGTCATTGGTCTTTCAAATAGATGCTTTGAGTATGTTTGATAAATAAAAGATATACCGTAAAAGATCAACGGGCCCGCTACAGAAGATAAAATAATCTTTAGAACTGTCTTCATCTTCAAACTCATGATTTGTCTTCTTATAATGTATGGAGTTTTCTGTAACAGCATTGTCGGTCATTATGATTAAATTTATTAAATCTGATTAAAGATGAATGAATAACAAAAAAATGAGAAATAGAATTAAATACTTTATCGTCTCTTTTATTTTGATTTAATCTAAATACCCTTTTGCGTTTCGTACCTTTTCGTTCTCTTTTCTATCGTACCTCTTGTCGTCTGACATAGTAATTTTGATTTAAACGTGACTAGAGTTAACTCAACTAACAGTCTGCAGTGAGTTTACTTTTGAGCAACGAAAAGCGTCATGTGAAAGTACCGTTGTAACTTATCCCCGCTTCATCGACGGCCTATCCACGTGGGATGGGACCGTCTCCCAGTTGTTAAGAAGAAAACCGGTTTCTCTTTGCATGACTGTAATCTACATCGCGGATTATGACATTCATAATTACCGACAGAAATAAATACAATAAAAAACTTATAATGTGACGATGCCAATCGTAAAATAACATAAAGAATTGCAAAATGAATATATAATCAGCAAATTATTTTTAAATGTATTTAATTTTGATTATACAATTGATTTTCAATAAGTATGCTATAATACTATTTTGTTATTGATTTTATTAAAACATTCTAATAATGTATTATAATTTTAATTATACGGCTATGATTTTGAATGAGTACACTTCTGTTTTATTATTGATTACTAAAACACAATCCAATATATCGTAATATATATATAATATAATATTACAGAATTTATTTTTTAACCGATTTGACAAATCTGAATTTTTTGAGAATTTCTTAGTCCATGATTATTCTTGTCCATATATATTTATTATTATATAAGATGATTATATAAGATATAATCTTTCAAAAGTTTAAAGTTATATATGGTTTATTTACTGTATTTCCTGATTTCATACTTCTTGTAATTTTTACACACTTTATTTAAAAATTTTATTTAAAATTTTGAAGAGTTTGAAAAAAATGACCATTTTTGTGTAAATAAACATTCTTTTGCTAGACGAGTAATGATACATACTTATATAGCATTTCATATATCTCATTAACATAAATAATAATGTATAAAAAATTTATATATACGCTCGAAAAAGTATCGTATTTAAACACGAGCGGCAGAAAAGAGCATGTGTCACGTGATCGATACATAGTTGTCAGATTAGATTAGGTTTTGGAAAAGCGCCGCGTGTGATGAAATTTAGGCCGGTATTCACAGTCCGTTCTCATATTCAAGATCGTCTTAAGTACGATCTTAAGATACTATGCGGCCATTTCATTGGTTGAATGGGATCTTAAGACGACCCAAGACCACACTTAAGACGATCTTGAATATAAGAACGGACTATGAATACCGGCCTAAGCAGCCATTTCATTGGTTGAATGAGATCTTAAGACGACCCAAGACCACACTTAAGACGATCTTGAATATAAGAACGGACTATGAATACCGGCCTTAGTCATCTTCTCATGCGATTCTCTGACCTTCCCAAAGTTAGCCCCCCCACTTTTACTTTTGGGAATTTTCTTTTTATCAATCGATTGGTGGTTGATTGGTAATGTTTGGTATCGCATTAAAAAAGTTTGGTAGTTTCCCGTTTTTTGACAAAATCGTAAACAAATTTTTGACCTTTTTTTAGCCCCCCCACTTTGACTTTTGGAAATTTTTTTTTATCAATCGTTCAATGGTTGATTGCTAATGTTTGGTATCGCATCCAAAACGTTTGGTAATTTCCCGTTTATTTAAAAAAAAATCGAAAAAAAATTTTTAATAAGGCCCGTTCTACAATAAGCCGTATGTCGTTAGTCGTAAGCAAATTGACCAATTACAGTCAAATGTTCTCGGAATAATCGACTGTGGTTGATCAATTTGCTTACGACCATAGACATAGTATATCTAGATCGAGTGTTAAGGAGTGGGGACCAAGGTGCACGTAGAAAAGGACATACTTTGTTTTGTGCCCCTTGCGTTATCTATGCTTACGACTAACGACATACGACTTATTGTAGAACAGGCCTTAGGCCGATATTACATTTGTCGTACGACAAACTTTTTAAGCATATTGATTGGCTGCAAAATAGAAACTTTCTTGAGTCTCTAGAAATTAGCTAATCAATGCGCTTAAAAAGTTTGTCGTACGACAAATGTAATATTGGCCTTAAGCCCGTATCAAACTATAGACTAAGCATTGAAGATTGAGATTCAAGATTCAAGATTGAAATTTGACCAATTAGAATGAAGGAATCTTAGTCCCTTTTGTTCTGATTAGTCAAATTCCAATCTTTAATCTTTAACCTTCAATTTTTAATGCGTAGTCTAAAGCCCGTATCAGACTACGCATTGAAAATTGAAGATTGAAGATTAAAGATTGGAATTTAACTAATCAGAACAAAAAGGGCTAAAATTTCTGTATTCTGATTGGTCAAATTTCAATCTTGAATCTTGAATCTCAATCTTCAATGCGTAGTCTGATACGGGCATAATACGAGCTTTACAACATATGAGCATTAGCGATGCGCCATAAGGCTCGTTCTACAATAAGTAGTATGTCGTTAAGCCCGGATCAGACTACGTATTAAAGATTGAAATTTGACCAATCAGGCTAAAAGGAACTAAAATTTCCTTGTTCTGATTGGTCAAATTTCAATCTCAATGCATAGTCTGATACGGGCTTATTTCTACATTACAAATATCATGTGTAATTGCTTGAAATGCTTTTGTCTAAGGATAATAAATAAGGTAAAAAATATTTTTTGCAGATGTTATTTTTATTAGAGAAAGAAATTTATTTTATTTATCATACTCAACATTATAAAGATTCTCTCAGGTTTCTCTCTGGTTACAGGAAAAACGGCGGCGTGACCTCTCTCAGGTTTCTCTCTGATAATAACACGTGCAGACATGGGTTTCCAGAATATTTGGTACTCGCATCCACGAAAATACGGTCAAGGATCAAGATCCTGGTCAGTATAATACTCTTTTCCTTTTATTCGCTTACATTAGCGATTAATTTATGTGGCATACAACAGTTGAGCGAACGCATGGCGATCATCACGAGAATGTCGCTATGTAATATTAACCACGAAAATTTGTTTTAAAGTGAGAAATTTAATAGGCTAATTAAAATCCGAAATAATTTTAATATATTTATGTATCGATATTAATTATTAATATTATTTTTGTAAAAATAAATTGTAAATATGTATGCTAACCTCAAAAGTATCATGCAACAAGTCACACTAAGGTTATTTTATTAAATATTCTGTTTTGCATGAGTTTTCTACACATTATTTTTTCCTCTCTTTCTGTCTTTAAATTTTGAATTGTTTTAAAAAAATTTAAAAAGTTTAGAAAATGCAGTTAAGCAAATAGGTTTAATATTATATATATATATATATATATATATATATATATATATATATATATATATATATATATATATATATATATATATATATATATATATATATATATATATATATATATATATATATATATATATATATATATATATATATATATATATATATATATATATATATATATATATATATATATATATATATATATATATATATATATATATA